GGCCTGCTATATGTATATCGAAGCAAATATGAGGTGAAGATAAAAAGAGTCGGAGTCAGCATAGAAAAGGCAAACATTTTAGATCAATTACATTATTATACGGTCTAGAGGTAGCGACAAATATCCAAAAGAACCAATAGGTCGAAAGTAATTATGATGAACCGGAACTAGTCCAGTAAGAGAGATGGGAAAATTTTCTCGGGATTTCAATAGGGATGCCAAACTGCAGTTTACGTGCGGTCTAAGTGAGATAAACAACATTTTGCTCATAAATTGATAGAAATAATTTTAATACAATGTGGCTACAAATGCAAGGGTTTATATGGTGGAGGTTAGCAATATCGCCGACAAGTTGCGTGAGTAGGCAAAACGGGAAATAGAGATGGAACTAATTCCAAAGATCTTGACACATCATGAGCCTACATACATGAACAGATTTGCCGTGATACTTAAAACCCTCGAAACGAATCAACAATTAATCCTTCAGACGGACAATGGAGAAGCTACAGTGATATTGGAGAATAAACAATATACCGAGAAGATGGAACAAATTCTTCGAGACAGACCACATATCGTATAGTAAACAAGGACCAAACTATGAAGGTCAATGGAATCTTAAGTATCATGTTGAAAGACATTCATTGGAATGGGGAAATTGACGCATAGACAATAAATTCAATTATAAGAAAGGATGCACGACCACCAACAGAATACGGATTACCGAAGATACACAAAGAAGGCGAGCCACTAAGGCTGATAGTCAACAACGAGTTAGAAGCAACACACGAATTGTCAAAGTTTATATGTTTTAAACGGTGAAACATCCATATGCATTTTATTAAAAAATCAAAAACATGGAACTTGAAGAAACAGACTTATTGGTAAGTTTCGATCTGGAATCCATGTACACAAATATCTCTGGAGAGAAAGCGCTAACGGCCCTTTTGGAAATTCTAGACCGAAAGGATGATATTATGGAATCACAATGGATCGGTAGGGAGTCCTTAACAATACTAATCAACTTGACAATAAGGACTTAATTAAGGAGACGACCCATGAAGTGAAGGCATGGGAATCGGAGCTTAGGCGCTCTGTTTAGTGAGGCCGTAGTGTATGTGCTTCCGGGGCCTTGAAAAAACGCGCCTGGAATGAAATGCATACTGGGCCTGAAACCGAGTGAAATCGGTCAACCAGAAAGGTAAAGAACCGATCTACGAGGGGATCCGGATTGGAGGCTTGAGTCGGATCAGCCGATTGAAAGAGAGGGGGTCGGGGTGAATGGCAAGTGTGATGAGGCCACACTAGATTTGCCACAAAAGGGCACATTTTGACGAGTGGCATGTAAACAAGTCAGAAGTTGTGATAAGGCGGCAGTGGGATAAGAGGGTAAAGAGTAGATTAGATAGGCCAGAACAGAAATAGAAGTGATAGTGTAACCGTTTTCGGCAGAACGTTTGTCGATGGATTGAGTTCACTTGTCTCTGACGCGTTCGTAGCTTGGTGCGGATAATGGCAAAACTCACTGATGATGCCGGCGAAACGTTTGAAAATGTATCACGTCCACTGTCAGATGCTAGGAATCATGACAACTACTTTAGAAGACGACTTCGGACTAGGTGAGTTCTACTAAGTCCCCCTGACAACAAGGCCAAATTGCGACGAGGTCAACCCATTATATAAATCATAATGGGACTGAGAACATACCTGAGGCCACAACATCTTGGTCTTCATATCCCGGTTTTTTGTGTCTATGCTTACATCGAGGCCTTTTAAAGTATGAAAACGTCTGGTGAAAGTATATGCGGAATGCCATTAACAATAGTTGTCAGTGGCAGCCTGTGGATGTTCCACTCGAAGGATCGGGAAAGATTTAAAACGGCTGTATAAGCTTGACAGAATACTTCTACGTAAGACACTAAGACCTAGCATATATTATTTTCCTTACTAAATAAGAGGATTATGAGTTTGGATTAAAACTAACTCTCTATTTGTATTATTTTTTTGATAAGGGTAGAGCTTTGAATTTAGTCTGTTTTAATTTTATACACCATTTATTTGATGCTAACGGTCACCTGGTTGCAACTACCAAGAATCGCATTGCTGATGGGATACACCGTTTGTTTTGTTGTATTTCAGGTTGCTGACAATAAAAAGGTACTAAAGGATTTGAAAAATGTTTAACAGCCTCTTCCTTTAGTTGCGAGAGGATGTAGAACGATAGCTAGGATGTGTATAGAGACTCCTCATCAGCTTACTAAGCGTCAATGCTTTATTACTCATGAAACCTTTTGCACGAACTTCATCTTATCTTTTATCCAGTCCCTCTCCTCCCTATCCTGTATGAAGATGCTCTTTTCGGATACTAAATATACCCGAATTTGTAGCAAATTCTACACTCTTCATTGTGAATCCTTTAACTATCACTGAAATACGGTACATACCAAAATTATGTACTCTATCAACTATTTATTTGCTTGCTATTAGACATTGAATTTAATAGCTTGGAGAAGGAATATGTACTTTTGCATTTATCTAAATCGATCATTTAACTCGTAGCCATACTGACATTATAGTTTGGCTTTATTGATAGATATTTATGGTTTTTCTCTTACCTTAATCTAGACGCTGTATTAGGCATTATAAATATGGCGGAATCATCATCAAAGCCTGTCCCGACTCCCCAAGGACCCCTTTCTACCATGCCCGAATCTCACGGACGAAGCACCATTATACGCTACCTTCTTTCCAGTGAGCATAATCGTTTCTTATCACGTGGTCTGGCTATTTTTGCATGGCCTGCTCTTCTAGCGTCTTTGCAGGAAGCCGACATCTTCGAGGCTGCTCGAGCCTATTGGATGCGCGCCTGGTAAGCGCGCCTTACTCTTCATGTTATAATGTAGCACTTCATCCGGGGAATCATTAAGGCACTCTTGTTTTTCACATGTTACTTGCTTTTTTTCATGCTACCTGTTGCACAGCATATTTGCATCTCTTATTAACCAAATTGCTTAAAAAAATACCTTAGGTTGAAATAATAGACAATGATTTTCATGTGTAGCAGGGAGCAACTCAAAAGCTGGGTGGATGAGGGCTAAATGAAAGTCAGGAGCCCTACAAGCAGCATCTGAAAGAGGTGACGATGCGATCACACTTTACTAAATCTACCTGTAGCCACACTCTTAGGTGACATTGGAAGATACGAGAGCAAAGAATGGTGTGAATAGGTAAACTGGCGATATGAAGTGGGGTTGAGGGAAAGAGATTCAGCTCTAGAAGGTAAGACAAAGACTATGGGCGAGGAATTTTGCCACAACAGTTGGACAGGAAATTGATCAAAGCGATAACTTTCTTTCGTCACTTATTAGTTTTAACTCTGTGCAAAAGATGGAGATGAATGGATCCAAATCACGTTG